TTTCACTTCTAGGAATCCATGCTATGGTAATACTCATAGAAATATATAGTGCAGCATTGTTAGTAATATAAAAAAATTGTAAATAATTTAAATGTGCATCAGTTGGGATATGATTGAATAAGTTATGGTCTATCCATAATATGGAATAAATACTATGCAGCTATTGAAAAGAATGAGCTAGATCTCTATGTACTGACATGGATGGGTTTCCATGACATACCAGAGTATAGAAAAAAGTAGGTACATGTTGACCCTTGAACAATGCAGGGGTTAGGGACATATAACTTTTGACTCTCACCAAACTTAACTAATAGCCTTACTGATAACATAAATAGTCAATGAACACATATTTTGTATGTTATATGTTTTATATACTGCATTCTTACAATAAAGTAAACTAGAGTAAAGGTTATTAAGAAATCATAAGGAAGACAAAATACACATATAGTATTCATTGAAAAAAAACTGTACAAGTGGACCTGTGCAGTTCAAACCTGTATTGTTCAAGTCCAACTATATATGGAAGTAAGTCTGGAAGGATGCATACGAAAAATACTAATTCATTACTTCTGGGTAGTGGGATGGGGAAATGATACAGGAGTTTCTAAAGAAAAAAGTTAAAGATTTGTAAAAATCATGTGCTACTTTTATAATTAAAAAATTGTAAACTCATTAACTTTCTTTGCAGGCACATTGGACAGAGGCCTCTTTAGCACTTTCCTTTCCTGTGGGATTTGCAATTATATTGTCAGGGTTGTTTTGTTTTTTGGTTTCTTTTGAGAGGGTAGGGCAACCCTCTTGCCCTACCTTTTGAGACACAATGTACTTATCTTTTCTCTGAATAAAACAAAACTCAATTTTGTAAGCCAAGACCAGCAGTTTCAAGCTTTATTGGGCATCAGAATCACCATATTTAATAACTATTGATGCTTGGTAAAAATGCAGATTCCTGAGCCTGCTCAGTAAGTTTTGAGTCAGTGTCTGGTAGAGTCCAAGAGGCACCCCAGTTGGTCAGTGAGAAACCCTGTGTTTGGGGAAATGACCACTAATTGTGCTCCCTCCCTCTCATTATTCTCTGTGATAAGCAAAGGGAACGAGGGATGCGATGATTCACCATGGACATCTTTGTGGGTCACAAATGGTTGGGTTCATCTGAATGGGAAAAATGAATAAAACACAGTTCAGTAGTCGAGATTTTAGTAATAAGTGTTGTTTTAAAGTATCATATTTGAAGTGGGCCCTTTGAGTTGAGGCTGGTCTGGTGGGCTTCCTTGGCAGTGACTTTCACACCTTGGCAAATTGTGAGGCCTTAGAATTCAGATGATTTTTTTAAATCCTCACCTGAGGATATGTTTTCCATTGATTTTTAGAGAGAGTGGAAGAAAGGAAGGTAGGAAGGAAAAGGGAGAAACATTGATCAGTTGCCTCCCATATGCGTCCAGACTGTGGATCCAACCCACAACCCAGGCATGTGCCCTGACCAAGAAATCAAACTGCAACCTTTTTGGTGTACTGGACTCAGCTCCAACCAGCTGAGCCACCTGGCCAGGCTGAATTCAAATGATTTTTTTTAAATATGCTGTTATTGATTTCAGAGAGGAAGGGAGAGGGAGAGAGAGATAGAAACACCCATGATGAGAGAGAATCTTCCATCGGCTGCCTCCCACATGCCCCCTACTGGGAATGGAGCCAGCAACCCAGGCATGTGCCCTGACTGGGAATCAAACCTTGACCTCCTGGTTCATGGGTTGACACTCAGCCACTGAGCCACACTGGCCAGGTGAAATTCAGATAATTTTTAAGTGAAGCTTCTGTTCTTGGAAATGGTGCCTCTAAATCAGGGGTCCTCAAACTTTTTAAACAGGGGGCCAGTTCACTGTCCCTCAGACCATTGGAGGGCTGGACTATAGTTTTTAAAAAAAACTATGAACAAATTCCTATGCACACTGCACATATCTTATTTTGAAGTAAAAAAACAAAACGGGAACAAATACAATATTTGTATTTGCATGTGGCCTGCGGGCCATAGTTTGAGGACCCCTGCTCTAAATATTAAGATGAGGTACTATCTATCTTAAGACTATTTTAAACAGTTTTTTTATGTTAGAATTTTTTCCCCTTTATTATAAACAAAGTCTCTTAATCAGATGCCCACTGTGGGTTATTAACATCTCAGAAGGATGTTTAGAAAACATCCCAATTGCTCCCAACAGTTAAACCTGGTAAGGAAGTAAATGGGAATACTTCTTAACTACCTTTCCAAGCCCTCAGTGAAGCTGGCAGCCATCAGTTAAATAAACCATTAGGTTTATTAGTTTGAGAACAGAAGTGTCGACTTGGGCAGTTTTCTAATTTGCTCATTTACCCAACAATCATTTATTCAGAGGCTACTCTGTGCCTACTAGACGTTAGATAACTCTACAAATAAAAGCTGAGACCCGATGAGCATCTGAAACTCAAGGGGATCATCTGAATAGGAAAAAATGAATAAAACACAATTTAATAGACTTGAAAGCTTAGTAGCAAGTAGAAAACAGAAAGTGGATTCCTTAAAGCAATAGCCTTGTTCTCTTTCTGTAGTCTATTTTAAGTGGGCCCTCTGGCCCAGTATTATCAACCTTGGATTAGGAGCTTTGAGGAAATGGTGGTTTGGTGGTTGTTGCTTTTTTTTAAAGGATTTTTTAAGTAATGTAGTTACTAAGCAACTGCCATGACCTGCTGCTAAGTTGGAGTTCAGCAGGCAAGTCAATTCCAAAGAAGGGAATATATAAACAAGTTGTGAGAGAGGGAAAATGGCTTAAGGATAGGTTTGGTGTATTTTTTTCTGGGTTCAAGGCATATTTCTGCCTTTTACTTATCTTCCTCAAGAAAGGGCTGCCTTGTCAGAAATCTCTTTGTCTCACCCAGTTCTCCTCTTAGCCCATCAGTGAGAAGCACAGCCAGAAAGGAGCCAACTAGAGAGGGCCAGGATGGAGGGCCAAACCGTGGGGTGGGGCCAGTGCTCAGGCAGCTCTAGAGGTATACAGTCCTGCTGCTGCGCTCTTGGGCAGTCCAGGGCTTCTATGACAGATCAATCACCACCCTCTACCTTTAGATTGGGATGCCTCATTGAAATTAATGTGTTACCAGGTAACCCTCAGAACAGGGACATTGTCCTGCTGATGTTTCTCTCCCCCACACATAGCATTTAATGGGTGAGTCAGTGATTTAACTACTTCCTGTAGGATTTCAGGGACCAGAGTAGGTAATGAGGACAAATCACTCTAACACCAGTGCATGATGAATGAAAGCACATGAACCTAAGCAGTTGGCTTCATTGGTATCAGTGTGAACAAAAAGAAACTGTTGAGAAGAGATTACTTTGAGAGTTAAAACCCCATTCCCTCCCCTTTAGGCTTTTTAACATTTCCCTTTATACCAGCGGTTCTCAACCTGTGGGTCGCGACCCCTTTGGGGATCGAACAACCCTTTCACAGGGGTCACCTAAGACCATCGGAAAACACATATGTAATTACATATTGTTTTTGTGATTAATCACTATGCTTTAATTATGTTCAATTTGTAACAATGAAAATACATCCTGCGTATCAGATACTTACATTATGATTCATAACAATAGCAAAATTACAGTTATGAAGTAGCAACGAAAATAATTTTATGGTTGGGGGTCACCACAACATGAGGAACTGTATTAAAGGGTCGCGGCATTAGGAAGGTTGAGAACCACTGCTTTATACCTAGCTGAAGGTCAGGTTGCTTTGCTGAGGGAAGTGGGGTGTCAGGTGTTGGAACAGATGTTTTGTTTTCTGCCGGTACAGTCACACAGACTACATGGGGATGCTTCTTGCCAGCCCTCCATGGTGCATGAAAATGCTTTTGTGGAATTCCCCCCCCGCCCCCCGGAAATGTGTTTATGTTTTAGAGCAATTCCCCACCTTCAATCCCTAGAATAAATTTTGACTTCTTTTAAATTCAGCTGGTCATAATGAAGCATACCTGTTTTCTACCATTTCCACAGCCTGTGCTTTAGATATATCCATTTCATGTAGCAATTAAAGACTTGAAAAATGTTGTGGAATTATGTGTGTGTAATGAGTATCATATTTTAAATGTATTAGGACAATGTCACAGTAAGGCAGTCCTATAAAAAAGCCTTTTATAATAAAGTTATAATGGCTATAGTTAGTTTTCCTAATCAGGTTTTCTTAAATTTGGTGTAAACCTATAGTTACTTTCACAGAGTGATAAGGTGGTTCAGGTGGTTAAGATGGTGTCAGCAGGCCTCCAAGCTGGGCCTGTATTTATGATCCTACTGACTAGGTGATTTTGGAGGAGGGAGGTATTAGCAGACTTCTAGGATTGAGTGAATTTAGTTTTAATGTTTAATTGATACTGAGGCCAAAGACCCTGTTTATTAAAATGGAGATAACTCAGGGGAGCTTTGTGATCTCCTTATCTGATTGTGAGGTTTGTTTGTTTTTACTTTGGCACAGGGTTCCAGTATTCCCCCTCAAAAAAGACACCTAGAAACAAATCGGCTTCCTTGCCTAACAATAATTTAATGGCCTCGGGTCCTTTCCAGCCCCTCCACCCTGCTCTCATGGCCATCTGTTCTCTGCAGTCCTCTTTTTGGGAAATTCTTTCCCATCTGCTCTCCTTGGGCCTTAGCACCTGCTCTAAAGATTTATGAAAGCCACAGTGGAACCTCCTTCCAGTTTTCTTTTAAGGATTTCAAGGCAGATAAAAGCCTTTTCCATTTGATACATCAAAATGTTACTCCTTTTCCGGGTGTGTTCTTTCCTTCTATGAGTGTGTAGGGTGGAGAGAAGTCTGCCTTTTTGTGCCTGGAGGAGGGACTCTGCCTATCCAGGCAAAGATTGACTGGGCTGGCTCTGGCTGCATGAAGCCAAGTGTCCTCTGGCTCGGGCCACGGGCGTGCAGGTTCAGTACCTCTCCTTGGCTTCATTCTTTTCCTGCCCTTTCCCTTGTCTTCCTGACAGAGTACAGTCGCTTTGAATCGAAGATACATGACTTGCGAGAACAAATGATGAACAGCAGCATGAGCTCTGGGTCTGGGTCCCTCCGAACAAGTGAGAAGAGGTCCTTGTATGTCAGGTGAGTCCCACTTCCAAGCCATAGGCCTTGTGCTGCACAAGGGGAGTCTGGTCCAACCCAGCCCTTGTTTACCTAGTGGGGTAGGGAGTGTGTACTCCCAGCACTACAACAACACTTCCAACTCTATGCTCAGGTTGTGTACTTTCTGGCCAGTACTATCTCCTCCTGGTCAGGAGCTGGCTTGGCTTCTTCTTTTTTGTTCATGAATGACTCAGTATGGGAACTTTTTAGTGTGCTCCAATCAGAAAGGGCTATTGGGTGATTGTTGCTAGTCAGCATTCAAATAGCACTGGTATGTTCAAAGTATTTTGCTTACAATTTGTGATTTGAGGGGGAAACTTTGCATCCCTTCTCCCTTTCACATGTGCATAATACACCCCAGGCTTTATATCTGAGCGTATCAACTACCACTGTGTTCTGGTCCAGGGTCTCTTTTAAGAGACCAAGGAACTGACAGGTTGTTGCATTCTTTTTTTCTTTTTTTAATTGTGTTTGCTTGCTCCCTGCTGCACTGGTCTACTGTATCTGAGTCATGGGACATGGGGCAGGATGGTGTGCATTCCCCAGGAAGGGCGGGTGGATGTGCAGCTTTGTGTGTATTGCTGCTGAAAATTATTCCAAGATATTGTCCAAGGTTGAGCTTCTGACCCTCAAGGCATATTGTCATACTTTGTCAGGTCAAAGTACAAACCTCCTGGGGAGTTGGACTGCTAAATGAACACTATGGCCTCCTGGTAGGATTAATTTCCTTCTTCCTGCCTGGGCTTCTTGGCAAAACTCCAATAGTTGGTGCAATAAACTCCTTAGAGAAAGAGGTGGTGGGATTACTCCCCTGAGCTGGCTGCCTCCTTCCTCCCTCCCTGGGTGTTTAATACTTACATATGGGGTTGTATAAACCTCTTGGGTTGAACTTTTTCTAGTGGCCTCTGATACCAGCTGGGAGGTTAGGAGGTGAGGTTGCATATGCTAGTTGCCCGGCAACATGACAACTGTTCTGTGCTTGGGGTTGGAAATGAAGATAGCCAACTGACAGAAAGGCTAATTGCAGCTCTTTTCAGGGTAGTTGATTTTTTTTTTCTTCAGTTGGTCATTTATCTGTGACCCTACTGCTAGGAGTGGGACAGAGGGAGCCCCACTTTGAGCCTGAAGCCCACTAACCCCTTCATAGTTCTTTTCTAAAATAAGCACTCAATTCCACTCCTTGTGGAGCAGCTTTCTTCACATGTGCTGTGCTCACCTCCCGCTGAGAAAGGAGGAGAGCAGGAAGGCTGGAGTAGTCACCGTGATCTTTTCAGTCTCCTGACACTGGGGCACTAATGGGGAGGATCAGCAATGCACTGTGGCCCCCTCCCCCCCCTGCTAAAGGGTAGTACATACGTGACTTGGTCAGGATTGTTCCGTTCTGTGCTTTCAGCCCCCACAGATGTGGCACTACAGAGTGCGTGGGAAGCTACTCTTTAGGCAAGACAGTTTTTTCAGAGAGCTTTATTTTTAGATTTTCCCTCTCTGTCTATCTTGTGCTAGAGCTCGCCCTGCCTGAGCAGGAGCAGTGGGGCGTTAGCTCCCAACCTGGAAGACCTGGAGCCCTCTTCTCTGGCCCCAGCCAGGAAAACTCTGGGGAGGAGGGTGGAGATGCACTCTGGTTCTAGCTAAGCAGTTTATCCAGTTTACATAATCTGTCCTTAACCTTATCTTGATAACATTGTATCATCTGAGCAAAGCAAATATGGTTTAGGATAGTGAACATTTGTGATCACTAGACTTAATTAAAAAATAATGTTTCCTGGCTGAAGCAGTGACCTGAGGTCCTTCGCTAAGCTAACCCCTCTCCTGGAGCCAGGCTTGCTCTATTTCCTTTTGTGCTTGTTTTGAGCCTTTCACTCTACACTTGGTTCCCTTTCTTCCACATGTAAACATATTCAACTTTCATCCATTCTTAAAAGAAAAGAAAAAAATTCCCTTGATACCAGTTGTCCCTTAAACTCTCATCTTGTCTCTCTTCTTCTGTTTCCCACATTTATTTGCCCAATTCTTTGCTAGGAAACACTAGTTCCTGGAGAGGTTGGTAGTATTATGTAAAAAAAAAATGTTTCAGGAAGTTGAGCAAGTGCAGGATTAAAAAGGAAAATGGGTTTCTTCTCTGTGATTAATCTCCAGGACAGACTTACTAGGCAGTTTCTCCAGTAGATAGGAGGGAGCATGAAAGCCTTATTTGGAGAAACCCGTCTTACCATGCAGGCTGGGAAGTGTTAGAGTCATCTGTCCTTGCTGCTGCTATTTCTCCAAATTACCTCTCTTTCAGTAGGAGGGGAAGTGTGCATCTGCTTTTCAGTTTGGTGTTGTGATCCCAGCAGCTCCAGCGGAGCAGATGCCCAGGTCTGCCAGGAAGCAGTGGTGGCCTCTTAGTCGTCAAATTCAATGACTGGTTTACTGATCCTCTGCCTTCTTCTTCTTCTTCTTCACCACATTTGTTTCCATGGCTTACTTGTTTGTTTTTTTTCTTTTTTTAAAAAATATATTTTATTAATTTTTTACAAAGAGGAAGGGAAAGGGATAGAGTTTTAGAAACATTGATGAGGAGAAACATCGATCAGCTGCCTCCTGCACACTCCCTACTGGGTATGTGCCCGCAACCAAGGTACATGCCCTTGACTGGAATCAAACCTGGGACCCTTGAGTCTGTAGGCCGACGCTCTAGCCACTGAGCCAAACCGGTTAGGGCTGTTTTTTTCTTTAAAGGCTCTCTTCCTACCTCGCTGAGCATTCCTCAATCCTGTTCATTACCTCTGCCCCTAAATGGCAATGTCATTTACTTTCTTTTTTAAAAAAATTTTGTTTTATTGCTTAAAGTATTACAAAGAACTTTCACAACTTCAAATCATGTCATTGTGTAAGTGATGCCCCTGATCTCTTTACTGAACTGCAGACATGCATAGCATCTACTTGCCGGACATAGGCCTGAACCGGCCCTCCCAGTGCAGGGTGTTCAAAATGGACCCCCCACACTACTCCTCACTTACCTTATCTAAGTTAATTGCATCAGCCTATCATGTGGAAAAGGGATTAAATTTGTTCTGTCACCCAAGGCAGATCTCAGCTCAACAAGAGGAATAAATTGCTAATGATTAAAGTTGTCTGCAAATGAATGGTCTGCTTCCAGAGATAGTAAGTTTGATCTTTTGTCACTGGAGGTGTTATGGAATAGGCTAGGCAGCCATTTGCCTGGGTGTCCCAGAGGGACTTGAAGGTAAAGCAACAATCTGGACATGATCTGCTCAGAAGCTTTCAGTAGTTCCCTAGTGTTTTCTGGATAAAGGGGAACGGACCTTTAGAAAAAACCCACTACACATCAGGACCTTTGTTATTCTCTTGAAATTGCTTTTAAAATCTTTTTAATGATGTTACAAAATAGACATCATTATTCTCATTTTGCAGAAGAGAAAAATGAGATTCCAGTTAGCCAAACCCGGCCAGCGTGACTCAGTGGTCGACCTATGACCCAGGAGATCACGGTTCGATTCCCGGTCAGGGCACATGCCCAGGTTGCAGGGTCAATCCCCAGTGGGGAGCATGCAGAGGCAGCCAATCAGTGATGCTCCGAGTTAGACAGCCAAGAAGTTCCCAAACTGGAATTTGCCCCTGGTTGTTCAGACTACAGAGGGTAGTTCTCCCAGCATTTCCCAAACTGCTAGGAGTCAGCTGTCATGCTAGTGAAAGTACAGATTCACAGGCTCCTCTCTGTCAATTGGATTCACCAGTTTGGGGAAATGTATGTTTTTAACAAGCAATCAGGATACTCGGGAATGACCACTTGTGTGTCACAAGAGACATTTATTTGTTTCACTCAAACTATTACACTTCTTTAGCTTTTACTGCGTGGAAAGTAGTAAATAAAGCACAGGGCTAAGAATATGGGCCTGGTTGTGGGGATAGATTCAAGGAGGCAGCAGCTGTGGTTCCTGCCCTCCAGCAGCTTGCTGTCTACACGGAAGGCACTGAGCCGCAGGTGATTTAAGTGAAGGAACCCTTTTCAGGTGGGGTTTCACCTCATTCTTCTTGCTGTTGTTTCAAACCCTTGTGATATGTTTCTCCTGCCTTCCCTTTCCCCGAGTCTCCATCTTCCTCTGGTGTGTATGGGGTTGCAAATCTGTTTTGATGCAAGTAACACCCTGCACTGAGACAGGTGAAAGCTTAGGGAGCTGTAGCTCTGTATGAACCACAGGGGAGACAGGATTTGGGAAGCAGGGAGAAGGAGGAAGAAGGAGAGATAATGGTGTTTGCAAAACAAAACTCGGTTTTAAAGTCACTAGTGGGGGAGGGTGGGGGTAAGGGGGAGAGATCAACCAAAGGACTTATATGCAAGCATATAGGCCTAACCAATGGACACGGACAACGGGGGGGTGAGGGCATGAGCGGGGGGTAGGGGATAATGTGGGGATAAGGACACATATGTAATATCTTAATCAATAAAAATATATTAAAAAAATAAAGTCACTAGTGACTTAATGGAAAGGCCTTCCCTACCCTTCACCATACTAGGATCATCTCTTAAATGATATAGGCAGATGAGCAGAGCCCCTCTTTCTGCACAGTGTAGGGCCTTTGGTGAATTTACCTTCCACACTGGAAAAGCCCGCAGAAATATGCCTCTCTTGAGCCTCTTGCTCAGCAGCGGGGTGGCTACGTGTTTTACTCAGGGACTTCCAGGGACTTCCAAGTTCTATACTCATATTTTTTTTAAATTTATCTATAGAAGGAATGAATGAAAGACCTTGTACTCCAAAGGTTGCCAAAAGGCTTGGTAGTACATTTGTAGAAATAGCTTTTGAAAGTCCGTTCTGGCTAGCATGCCTGCATTTTTGCAGCCACAGGACAGCATCAGGCATTTTGGGAATCCCGGCTGGCCATCTGCCATCCCAGTCTTCTTTCCACTCTGGGAAGGAAATCATGTTGGGGCATCTGTAGTCTCGAGTCAAGAAATAATGTCAGAAATATTGGCT